GGGAAAGAAGCATGAATTGTGCTTATACAAGCTAATTAGTATGGGTTTGCTAATTAATACTGGAAAGTCAAACTGCCTTTGTCTTGTCAACTGCAATTAGCTGAAGATATTTAAATTTCTTTCTTTCCAGTAGTAAACTGACTTTTAGCAGGGAAATAATTGAATCGTGGGCCGGAATACGCTATTCCAGTTAGCAGAGGGGGTCTATTATGCCTTTGATGCAGCAAGTTACGGACCGAAGCCACTGCACTGCCACCCAGCTGCACGTGCCAACACTTCTGGGGTTTTCTATGCAGACATGACTCCCTGAAACAGGGTGCTGCTCTCTGTAGTCCAAGCCACCATTCCAACAGACTGCTGCTACATGGGCTTGCATCGAAGTGATCAGGATGTAACGAATGAGTTATTTACCATGGCACCTCCGGTGCTCCCAATAGCATAACTGCAGAAACCCCATCAAATGTGCTGCTAAGATAAAGCCAGCAAGACCCTGGACTGCTGAGCACATCACTTCCTCTCCACCACTTTGGGGAGGGTGAGAGAACCATTAGCACTCTTTGCAGTGGCTGTAGATACGTCTCTTGAGCAGAGGCTTATCCCGAGGAGCAGCCTGAAGACCCACTGACCTGCGTGATAGCATCTCACAGGTGTTTCTTCCATTTCACTTACAGCTAGACGCTTGTCCACAGGCTTGCCGCTGAAAAGCAATATCCGTGCCTGTCAGAACACAGGGCAAGAAGTGGCCTTTCTGCACCTCCCCAGCCATGGAAGCTTAGCCTCAAATAATGAGGAGCGGATCACAGGCGAGCGAGTGGAGGGGGACAAGAACAAAGGTGAGATGCAAGGAACCCAAATCAGGAAAACAATTGTTGAAGTGTCAACCTAAAAACGAGTCTGAAAATAAGGCCATGCAGGTGACACACTAAAGCTGGAGAAACAAGCCAGGAAAAGTCTTGTGTTGACTAGTAAGGAGAAGGCTGGGGCAGGGGCTCCAGGCAATCTGCCAAGGGAGACGTTACTCTGTCACCTGCCAAGCGGTAAGAAAGGAGTGACGAATTCTTCTCCAGGAGGAATGTTTTATTTGTGGAAAGAGGGAAAACCTCTGCAAAGCCAATAGCCATTGCTAATGAGAAAGTGTTACATTAAGTCAGCCCCTCCCAAGGAGGATGTGAGGATGAGGGAGGGAGAAAAAACTATCCGTTAAGAAATTTCCTTGTTTGTTGAACAACCAGACTAGATAAAGTTTAGCACTCTGCTGCCTCCTTTCTAAATTACTACCAACCTAGAGTCCAGCAGTCCAGACAGGGCCTGCAAAGAAGAAAGCGACGCATGCAGCATCCTGGGGAATTCCCTAGCCATAGTAAACTGAAACCTCATTCATGTAACCCAAGGGAAAGCTTCTGACATGCTGGTAAAGCAGAGGTCAGAATCTTGAAAATGCAACAGCTTTTTGTTCAGGTATATCCAAATCTCAGCGCTCAAAATTAAAAACCATGACAAGAAAGCATGTAATAAGATGGCACGTGGGATTAATACCATCTTCTCTGGAGATCTCGGTTCAGATCTGGCCTATGTCACTAGAGAAAGTGCCTAAGCTTTCAAACACATCTGTCCACATCACAGAAGAACCAGACAGTTTAACAACACTGACAGTCTCCTATTATAAAAAAGCTCAATGTTAGAACAGCAAAGAGCAACACAGCCAAGCTGAGAAACGTTGACAGATGTGAGGCAACCCATTACCAGAATAGCAGGAGCACTGAAGGGGGGATTTATGTACATTAGCAGAGTGGTGAGAAAATCCAGGATACTACCAAGACATAATGTATGTTATGACTTGGGTTTTAGACCAGAGGCTTGTTCAGCACCTGCTCCAAATTGGCAGTGCCAGTTGCCATTCATTTTTCATGACTGCTAAAATTCACCCAGTTTAATATCATGCAGTATCAGACACTGACTTGTTTCTGTTCTGCGCTATTCAGGTTTGCTTATGGGGAAAAAAAAATCTGCAGATGAAGCCCTTGCGACTTACTCATTTGCATACCACAAGGAGGTGAATGGTTAAATGCTAATGTTTAATTCATTCCTGCATATAAAGGAGCTTATACAGTAAAGTAACCGCACCATGTCACCCCTCCCACCCCCTTGTTTTGCAGCCTGTGTGTTTTCCTGGTTCCTCTAGGGATTAGAGTTGATAGAAGAGACAAACACAGCTGAAAAATTAACAGAAATAATAATTTGCTTTGCAGACTATTGTCTCATCTCACCTACGGTCCCTTGTCACATCTCAGGCTCAATACACAGCTGCCTGAGGAAGGGATCTAATTCATTATGAAATAAAAATTTTGCTTCCTTTCTAGAACTGTTAACAAACAAGGCAAACTGCCAGGAAGAGTCAGAAGTACCATTAACCCTCAGCAGAGTGCATGTCAAGTAGGTGTTGAAACTCCTAAGGTACCAGACCTGCAACAGTTTTTCATGGGGCACAGACACCTGCTGGCTTCCTTGCTCTCTCTCACTCCCCTCCTTACAGTACTCATATGCTGTTCACATCTGGAATTGGGGAATGATGAATATTATTTAAGGGCATTAAAATTGTATGTGCCACTCTTCTACTGCAGTACAAAACAAGGAATAAAAGGAAGATCACACTTACCATATCTGCTCTTTGCTTCTGGTTCCCCACTTCTTCCACAACTTGAGACAGCTGAGCCTTCAAGACAAAAAGAGAAAATAAGTCAGAAAGCTTATTTAAGCCACCGTGATTTCTGTTCAGTGATACTGTTAGTTATTAGTTTGCCACCTTTTGGTCTCCAGCACTTCAGTCCTGGAAAATGTGGACTCAGTTAAGTAACACCTAAACACCTAAAACACTGCAGAGCCAGGATGATTGCTTCTGCCCAGATGATATATTAAGTTTAAAGCTTTCATTCTCTGTTGCCTTTTGTATTTGATTGAAAAAAGACTTATGCATCTTTCTTCCTCTCCTTGCCTTCCCCCAGTGCTGGCAAAGGATGCTGGATTCATAGGCTTGAAGACAAAAGTTGCTGGTTATAGATAAAATGTGTACAGTACTGATCTCAATTGAACTTGGGCTACTCCACCATCTTGGTGATGTGTCTGCACCCCAAAAGGATTACTGCTTGGGATACGGATGGGCCAGTTTCCAGGACCATTTTGGCCTTGACCTCTCTAATAACTTCCAAAAAAGCTATAATTGTCAAGTGAACACTACTGTAATGAATAAAGGCTAAACCCAAATGACAGTTCCACTATAAATGTGAGTTCCTGCCCCAAAGAACTGCCATCCAAATACACAGGAGGGGAGAAGCAACTTATTCAAGGTTATTACATAAGCTAAAGGCAGTGCTGAGAACAGAAGCTCTCTCTTCCAAGTCCCAAGGCAGTATCCCAACCACTAAACAAATGCTACCTCCTCTTGTGGTAGCAGGTACTGAAGATCCTTACAAATATTTTGGAGCCTCTAGAAGAGAGGTCCCGAAGCTTCTCACTTCCTGCAGCCTAACTGGAGACTAAACAGTCTGTCCAAAAACTCCTAAAGGAGGATGGGGAGATGGATGGAGCAAATACCTTCCTGGAGTAACAGTGGAAGGAGAAAGGAAATGGCTTTGCTTTCCGTAAGGAGAAAGTATCACGTTGTAATATGTGGACGTCTGGTGAATGCTCCCTGCAAACAACCTCCAACAAAACCCTAGCCAGAACCGGGATGAAGGAAATGGGCTCCCTTAGGTGAAAGCCAGAAAAACCTTCTGTCGGAGTGACAGCCTCTGAATAAAAGACAGAGGTGAGTCCCATCCCAGAGAAGGAGCCTTTAAAGGGCCTTGTGATCTTTGGTGGGTTACGGGCTCTGATTCGCAAAAGTGGCATACAATGCTCCGATGCCACTTTTGACCTCTTCTCTTTCATGGCACCATGCTAGTCTCCAATCGGCCATTCTGTGATCAGCTCCAAGAATAATCGCGGTGGATGACAGAAAAACATGTTGAAACAGCCAAAGCACACGCAATGAGACCTAAAAACCTTTCCTTTCAGGAAGATATTTATTACGACCCTTCGGAGTCCCTCTAACAACATTGCTACCATATGAAACGGGCCTTTTTGAGAGCTGCATCCCAAGCAGAAGCAAACAGCAAGCCGCTCGCTACAATGAAATGAAAAACATTAAGTTTCCAGAGCTAATTGCGCTGAAATACAAGCAAACAAAAAAATTACAGTCTCAGAGTTCAGCATAAAACGAGCAGTTCAATTCCCCAAACAAACAAACACGACAATTAGGTGCAGTCCACGACCGGCTCAGCCTTTGAGCTCAGTGGAAGCTTCAAGAAAGTTATGGGCTCTGGCTGTGCAGGGCCTGTTAATGATGTCACATTATTAAAGAAAAAGGCACTCAAACAAGATGAATGTAATTTTAACATAAACCTGGGACCTGGTGTGGGGAAATGAAACACTCTCATTAAACACTGCAGGAGATGCCAGTCCTGTGCAGACACAGAGCGCGCACACAAGCGAGTGAGAGGCAAGAATGAAATTACCACAAGGTCTGATGCGGACACATCGGGAGACTGTAAATTCAGAGGCACCTGGGAGTGATTTTTTTTCACAAATATTTAATCAGGTGGAATTATACCCCAGCAGGACAGAGCAGGAAAAGAGCCACATGGAGAAGAATTAGAAAGACTTCTTGGAAACTGTATTTACGAAGTCATTTTTTCCGAGGCCGGAATAGCCTTTGCAAAACACCCTAGGATGGAATGAACACACTGGACAGAAAACAAATCAATTTTCCAACATCTTTATTGGACCCATCTCTGCATGAAGAAGGTTTTAACCTTTGGATAAGGACTACTGGACCATTCTGAGCCAAAAGCAAGCAGCAATTATGGGTAACATATTTGTCTACTCCACAGTTATACCCAATCGTAAGAGTATGAGAATCTCTTTAACCAAGGAGAACTCAAACAAACCCAGCACTAAGGCTAAGTACCGACAGTCAAAAAGCCCAAGGCTGAATTGACTCAATCTTCGCAGGTCAGTCTAAGCTGCGTAGATTGGACCAATAAGCAAGTGAACAGACATTCACTTTTGATTCCAGAAATGCAGCCGCATGCCTGCAGTGGCCCAGGCCAGAAGCTAGAGGGTGCTAGAGCACTCCTCCTTGCTGGGCTGGAGCAGACAGCTTGGGCCAAGGCTAGCCCAGAAAGCTTGGGCCAAGGCTGGCCCCCCCCCCCAAAAAGGGGGGGGGGGGGGAGGTGCAGGGAGGATGCAAAGCATCCTGGGATGCTGGGGGACTGAGTTAACTTGAATCTGGAGGGGATCTGGGACAGAAGGTCGATAACTGATTTAGGTTAAGGCGGCTCAAGTCCCATACTACATCCATCCAGGTTCATCTTAAACCAGGTTCCATCATTTTGAAAGTAATTTATGCGCACTGAACTTCTGCTGTATTTCAGATTTGAACCAGTTTCCAATCACTTATATCGATTTGTGCATAATTTCTGTCCCTAGCCTAAATGACACTAGAAGCAATCCGTGAACAGAGTGAAACACAGAGGAGTGCGGGCACTTCACCAACACTAATGTGAAAGAAATAGGGCTTTGATCTTGAAAGCACCCGACCCAACAAATTCTAAAGCCGTATCTTTACCCCGTACCTGTAGGTGCGCATTAAGAAAGTCAATTATGTTTACCGCAAACCTCGTCATTCACTTTAATGGTTTATTTCATAGAATATTTTTTCACCAAGATAATGAATTTGTCTATAACTTAATATAGCATTTGGAGGTTGAGGAGCAGGGGTGACAGCTGCTCAGCATATTGGTTTGGCCTTTGTACCTCTCCCCTGTGACAACAGGTAAGGATTCCTTTTCCTATTCCCTTCCACAGTTTTAAACTTGACACACAACACGCTAATACTGTATCGAGGCGATTATTTGTTCCAGCTGCCAAAAATTAACATTTATACAGCTCTGAAAACTGAAAGGAAAAGGCCGGGGGAGAGAGGGGCCGGAATAGAAGAACAAACTTCCCTACTCTGCTGACAAGAAATCATGATACAAGAAGTTCTCCTAGTTGTTTCTTATATCTCCTCATTTCTCTCTCTCTCAAGCATTTCAAAATAAGGGCTTCCGGAGAAAAAAAAATGGAGTTCAACCCTGGGGGGTCTGAGTTTTCCAAAGCATCCATCTCTAAATTATAATATGATTTTTTTAGCATAAGCTTCTATAATGAGCATAAAGCACAGGTGAAAAGTTCTGTACTGAGAAGGCAAAAGAGTCTGTTTGGAGAACAGATGTGGAAGGGATAACATTCAGTTAAGCTTTTTCTCTTTGCCCCACCTGCATGGATGCTTTAATCCTGACCCGGTAAAACCATGATATTAAGCAACAAACAATTAGATTAGATTCGACACCTCACGTTCCAGTTCCTCAGCTCTTGGAAATATTAAGCAGGAGAATGTATGCAACTCCATCGCTGCCTCTCATAGCTAAAACATGTCAAATGAAATCCATTTACTTGAAGGCTCAATCTCCTGTTTTAGCAATATACACTATATATACCATCAAGATAATGCATCTATTTGAGGAAGTGACTAACTGGATGCTACTCGAACGTTTATTAAGATCTGGCGTTAAACAACAGATCTTTGCGTTTAGGAAATGAAGAGAACAAAATGTGTTCGTGATTCATATAGATGCTAAATTGGAGGAGGGCTGGAAAGACCTTTAGGGAAGAGAAACGGAACATAAATGGATTAAGAGAAATTAGACATATGGACAAAAAATAACATTAGATTTAACGCAAAAAATAAGCAAATATAGCTTGGGAAAAATTATTCAAAACACGTATATACATAGGAGGAACAAATCTATCAAGCTGCTAAACCTACAGGCAACACTGGATGGCAAATCAGAGATGAATTTGCAACATGTTATGGCAGGCCAGTGTTACATGGGATTGTGAACACAGGGGTACTAATCACAAAGCAGATTGCTTTATTGGATTTATTTCTGAGCATCTAATTGCCAAAGACTAAGACAGATCAACTAGATGATTGGGTTGCTGAAGGAAACTATTACGAAGAAAGATTGTCAAGAACAGTTAAATATGTATCATCTGCCTAAAACTAATAAAAAAAAAAGCAAGAGGAACACATTTAATTTATTCTTAGCTCTCTTTTAATGAAATCAGGCTGGTGGAAATAAGGGAATGCTAGGACAATATAACCAGCCAGCCTCCCACGGGACAAGAGCAAGAGATCTGCAGAGCACAGTTTTTGCGAACCCGTGTAAGATACAGAACCGACATACTGGAAAAACATTATTCCCAGTTCTCTTTCTGCCTTTTGTACCACTGGCTACTCAAGTACTGGATAAACCACATAATCCATGGTCCCCTGTGAATGACACTGCCAGGCTGTGAAGCAGTTGATCTGTATGCTTTATCACAATCAGTCTGCAAACATTAGCCCTACCCCAGCCCTTTGATTAGCCTAAATCAAATATTGAACCTAGCTCAGCTGTTAGAGGACAGCTGCTTACAAAGTGATTCACTGCCATATTCCTACTAGGCCACGAGAAAATACAAACTAATCATCGTCAGCATGACAGACACACACATTTTTAATTACGAAGAAGAAATTAGGCTCTGAACTTCCCCAACATCTCACTTAATCAGAGTGCTTCAGAAATGCTG